GGTATGTTTGGATAATAAAAATTAATAAAAGAAAGGGAAGGAAAAGGAGAGGAAGGGAGGGACTCAGGGACAGGGGAGAAGGAAGGATTATTAGTAATTTCGTTTAGATAGTTTAAAATAAAGGACTGAGATGAGAGAAGAGGATTACATTTTTTATTTAATTAAATAAATTAAAGAGATTTTGCTAAGAAATTAATTAGAATTTTATAATTTTATTTATTAAAAAATTTAATATAAAAATTTTAATTATATTTTTAAAAAAATAAAAAGGAAAAATAAAAATTAATCATATTTCTCTTTTCCCAAATTGAAGGGATTAGAAACAAAGGATTTAAAGGGGTTTTGATCCCCTCTATCTATTTCCTCCTCCTTCCCTCTTTTAATAAGTTTATCTAAACAAAAAGAAGGAGAGACGTCCCTCTCACTTTCCTCTCCTTTCTCTACAAATAAGTGTTATATACTATATAAAGTTTTTAATTTTTTTTTTTATAGAGTAGAATCATATAAAGTGTTTGACAATCATGAAATAGAATTTGTAATCCTAAATTTTAAAATTATATTGTTTTAATAAAAAAATAATTTAAATTTCATTTAGTTTAAAAGAAATGAAAGAGAGAGAAAAAATTATATCTAATCAAGTTAAGGTATTAACCACTATCATAATTTAATTCCACCTAATATTAATTCCTCTCCCTTCCCTTTATTTCTCACAAATTAAATAGTCTTAACTTTTGTTTATTGTACTTCAATAATAAAACCATGTAATTCATATTTGGTTTTTTTTGGCAAAAATACTCATTGTACTCTAATAATAAATAAAAAATACATATTGCCAATAAAAAAAAAATAGTCTTAGCTTTTACTTGAAAATTACATTGTTAAGTGGTGAAACTCGAAAAGTGTTTTTATTAAAACTGTATTTTTGAAATTGGGTTGGACTTCGGAGAGTATGGTGTTTATTAAAACTACGTCAAAAATCCTTTCGCGCCAGAATCATCCCGTGGTTCACCCACATGGAAGGGCATCCTTCGATGCAAGAATGATCTGAAGTTGGGAACCAGATGTTTCCTACAACTCCTCCACATTTGGGCAATCTTCCATTTTTTCCAATCAATAGGAATCAAAATGTTAAATTCAAACCAAAATTCCTCTCCTCTTTGTTATTTTATTGTTTTTTTTTTTTTTTGTACCACTCAGTATTTAAAAGTCCATTAAGTTACCGACTAATCCAAATTCGAATTGGACAGGACCTAATGAACGGTAAAACTCTCCCTCATAAGTTTTAACAAAACTACATTTTTAAGGTTTAAAACCAAAATCTCTTATTAAACTGAAAGAGTTCCCTACCAACTCATGCAGCCGCTCGTGGGTATTTTATTGTTAGTTCTCTAGAGATTGTCCAATGCAAATGCGGTAAACAATGACAAACATAAATTTGCATTCATGTGACATAACATTGTCTATTATCCAAAGTTACAGAGAACACTGAAAGCTTTAGCCTCTGAAGGACCCCATAGCCTAACTAATACACATATATTTACAATACTATATAGAACGGAAAAGCTATTTGCGCAAGATGACGTGGCAGCTGTCATATATATAATTTACTTTCATTTAAAGTTATATTCTTATATTATATGTATTTATTTAATATTATGTTAGGTTGTATGATGCACAACATCACACGGCATCGTGCCTGTGGCATCGATGTATATAAAACTTCACAAGTCACTCTCCCACAGCCTAGCCATATATAAGGGCATAGGAGGCAAGTGTTATCTTGTTCTTAATCCATTGAAATCTAAAAGAACACAGAAATGCTTGGAGACGGTGCGCTAGAGGAGGCAAAGGTTCCTTTGCTCAATGATTTAGCTTCAGCGGCTAAGTTAATAGCCAAGCAAGATGATGAAAATCAATCCCTTTCAACAAGGGTGTGGATTGAATCCAAAAAACTTTGGCAGATTGTTGGACCTGCAATTTTCAGCCGCCTCGCCTCCTATTCCATGGTTGTTATCACCCAAGCCTTTGCTGGTCACCTGGGTGATCTTGAGCTTGCCGCTATCTCTATCTCCAATAATGTCATCATTGGTTTCAACTTAGGCCTCTTGGTATACACACCCAAATTTGAACCTTAACGCACTATTTTAGCAATCCTGTACTAATTTCTGTTCTAATTAATTAGTTTCCCCTTGTTTGATTAGCTGGGGATGGCGAGTGCATTGGAAACTTTATGTGGTCAAGCATTTGGGGCAAAGAAATACTACATGTTGGGTGTATACATGCAACGTTCATGGATTGTTCTTTTCCTCTGTTGTGTTCTGCTTGTGCCTCTGTATCTCTTTGCCTCTCCGCTTCTGAATCTCTTAGGGCAGCCTAAAGACGTTGCAGAGCTATCCGGTGATGTTGCTATGTGGATGATTCCTCTACACTTCAGCTTTGCCTTTCAGTTCCCTCTGCAGAGGTTCCTGCAGAGTCAGCTGAAGAACATGGTGATTGCGTGGGTATCACTGGGGGCGTTTTTAGTGCATGTTCTTGTGAGCTGGTTGTTCGTCTACAGACTGCAGCTTGGAGTCATAGGCACCGCCGTTACTCTGAACTTTTCCTGGTGGGTTTTGGTTTTTGGACTTTTTGCATACTCTGTCTGTGGCGGCTGCCCGCTCACATGGACCGGTTTCTCCATAGAAGCATTTTCTGGTCTCTGGGAGTTCACCAAACTCTCTGCTGCTTCTGGTGTCATGCTCTGGTGCACAATTGATGAACTAATTCTTTTTTGTTTTTTTTGTTTTTCCTTCTTTACATTTGCTTAGTCTTTCTTTTCTTTAAAATTTTGCAGCTTGGAGAATTGGTACTATAGAACATTGATACTGATGACTGGAAATCTTCAGAATGCAAAGATTGCTGTAGATGCTCTATCTATATGGTAAGCAAATATAACATTTTTCTAAGATAAACATTATTTTATAAATCTTTCCCTATCAAAGAACTAAAGTCTAAACATATTTAATGTTAATTAGAAAATGATTTCTAATTACGTTTTTGACATGAACACAAACTCTTGATTTGGATTTGTATGCCAATTATATATTTGTGTGCTTTGTCAGCATGACAATAAATGGATGGGAAGTGATGATTCCTTTCGCATTTTTCGCAGGCACCGGGTAAATCTCCTTCCCTCTTCACATTTTATTTTTGTTTGAATTCTTCTGTTTTCTACCCTCGTGGTGGAGCCCCATCCGAGCTGGGTACGATTGTATGTCATTATCATTGCCCAGAAACAGATTGGAGAAACTGGTACCAGAAGCTTTGTCTTTATGGTCGTTAATTTTCATTTATTACTAATATTCGATTCTAAATTAGTATGACCCTTTAATAAGATGGTGACCTATATCAATCATGGATATACAAAATTAATTTCGATGGATCAAGGTTAGTGGCTTTAAGCCCCACCACAACCAAACCCAATAAAAAATGGTCATTTTCTTCTCTGAATTTTTTGCATCTTTTATGCAAAATAACGTAGTTATAATATAATATTATATGATATTATAATCATATAATCATGATATACCATAAAGTAATTATTTTTTTAATTAAAAATTTATTTATAATATTAAATGCATTCACTTATTTTATAATTCATTATAAATGTGCAATTTTACATTGTATTGTAATTATATCATTGCAGATTTCTTATGCAACAAACATAAAATTAAGCCTAATTCAACATGGAACAAAAATAAGTTAGAATATCTAGTAGCTTAGGATGTTTATAGTAACTTTCTTTTCTAAAATAGTAGTCTTATTTATATCCATACAGTGATGGCACAAACAACGTTTTGTTACATATGATCTTTTTTTCTTAATTGTCTGCATTTGGTATGAGTATAGCTTAAATTTGTCGCTAGTATTGTAAGTTACGCTTTAGTCTTTAGGCCAGGCTAAGCTACCATTATACAAAATTACATGTAATCTCTTTAATTATTAACAAAATCTCTATTTTTTATTAAAAAAAATATGAAACAAAAATGATCTTGGAAGTTTAATGTATTAATGCTTAAGTTAAGATGCAAGCTATGTGTGATGCAGAGTGAGGGTTGCAAATGAGCTTGGAGCCGGGAATGGTAGAGGAGCAAAGTTTGCCACAACAGTTTCCGTGTTAACATCAATCGTAATTGGCCTTTTCTTCTGGCTATTGATCTTTCTGTTCCATGATCAGTTGGCTCTAATTTTTACCACAAGCAAACCAGTCTTTAAAGAAGTGAGCAAGCTCTCGCTTCTCTTAGCCTTCACGGTTCTGCTCAACAGTGTTCAACCAATTCTATCCGGTAATTAGCAAATTCAACCCTAGAATCAGTTAATCAATTTCCTTTGTTCTTCAATTCTGAAGGGACAATGACATTCTATCTGGTTTTTGTGCAGGGGTGGCTGTGGGATCAGGATGGCAATCCTATGTGGCGTACATTAACTTGGGTTGCTATTATCTTATTGGTGTTCCTCTTGGATTTTTGATGGGATGGGTTTTTCACCTAGGAGTTATGGTAAGTCCTGAATTTCATTCAATACACAAAATTGATGATGGAAAACATCTTGTTTCTGAGATCTAAGAGAAAAGTAAAAATGTCGGCAGGGAATTTGGGCTGGAATGATATTTGGTGGGACAGCAATTCAAACATTGATATTGGCCATCATTACCATGAGATGTGATTGGGACAAGGAGGTGAGGAAATTCAAGTTCGGTCCAAACTAGACAGAGAATGTTTATACAGCTTTAATGAATCGCTATATAAAAGAGTTTTATTAAAAGAAAATTATTTATACATCTTTAGTTCAACATATCTAATAATACTTTTTGATTTAGTTATTAAATTTTGTCTTTGAAAATTTTTTTGTTTTAAATTCAAATTTAAAAATATTAATTTTTTAATAACTGAATTAGAAGGATGTTATTAAATGTGTTAAACCTGAATGTATACTAATCATGTCTTTTATTAAAACATATCAATTGTTTTATAGCCTAAATTGCAATTTTTTTATATTGTCTAGGTTGAAAAGCATATTTTCATTATCTAAAACTGTTCCTCAAATGATCATGACAAATTTGCATGTTGTTTGGTGGGGAAATGCAGGCTGAGAAAGCATGGATGCACGTAAGGAAGTGGGAGGAACAAAGTAGATCGGATTAATGGACTTTGAAGGCAAGAATATTCCTAAGATATGAGATGGCTCTTGCAAAACATTACAAATGATCTCAAAGTCTAGTATATTTTTATCTATAATTTAGACTCAATTGAGTATTATTTTGCCTTTGAGTTTTAAATTTTTATTTTTTGAAAAAGTGTTTTACAATCTTAATTATATCATATTCTAAAATATAAACATTTAAACAAAAGGTAAGTTCTTAATTTTGGTAGCACCTCCTATATTGAAAAGTCATTGTTTTACAATTCAATATAGTTTGAACAGTGAAACACGAATTCTTTATTTTTTATATATTTAGTAACTATTATTATATTTTAACAATCAAAATTTATTAAATTTAATTTAAAATAAGGTATTAATTGCTAAATATACAAAAATAAAAACACAATTCAAAACCAAAATTATACTAAATGGAGTTGGTGCTCAATCCTCATATCAAATGATTGTAACATACTCTTATTGTAGAACGAAATTGCAAATTTGCTGTTACTTGTAAACCACATAGAACTTTAGTCCTTGAAATTGAATAATGAACAAAAAGGTTGGAGGTTTCCCAACCTTGGCTAAGTTTGGTGCTTCAATGGAGAACCCCTTTTTGTGTTTTTGATGTTATTCCTCAAATTTGTTAGGTAAATTATTACTACTATCTGATTGGAAACTTCGTGCATCACACTGTAACTCTTTAGTTTTAATTTATGATAGTTCCCTTTGCACAAAAAAAAGGGGGAAGGGGGGGATGGTTGGAGGATTCCCAACCAAGAGCTGAGTTCCATGCTCTTTTCCCCACATGTACAGTTGAAAAAGAAATTCAATGGTTTGTGTGTAAATACCCGAGTTGGGATTTAGGTTGTTAAATCTGTATCATATCTAGCAAGAAAACTGTGGATCAAAAATGAAAATCAAGAAAATTTATAAGGAGAAAGAAAATCTAGCAAGAAAATGAGCCAACCATCCGAATTCCAATCCAAAATGAGAAACCTCCTCATCACAATATTAGGCTAGGGTTATATATTGGGCCTAACTGTAAATAGGTTTGGGTTACATATTGGGTCAAGCGTATAATCGAGCAAGCTTTTACCAAAAAAAAAAAAAAAATCGAGCAAGCTCCCCAAATTACCTTTTTTTTTATAACATGGGTTATTTGTTTTATAATTTTATACAAATAATTTAAATTGTATTAAATTATAAAATTAAAAATTTTAGATTAAGAGAAAAGGACCCAATATTAAGAAATCATCTCCAATTTAAGAGTTACATTTTTATAATATCATATAATTTAAATTATAAAATACTTTTTTTATTGTAACATTAATTTTTTTGTGTACTATGCGCGGAGAACTCAGAAATTCTAAAACAAGCATATTAATTGATCCCATTGTCTAGTGGTTAGGACATTGAACTCTGATTTCAGTAACCCGAGTTCAAATCTTGGTGGGACCTCATATAATTCTTTTTGTTATTTTCCCAATTCCTTTTTAATACCGAAATGCGTAGACTAGTTACAAAATTTTGGGATCTAATTTGACCGTTTGGCATTCAACAAAAACATGGAAAGTTGTGAAACTTTTTCTTTTTCTTTTTCTTTTTTATGAAAAGCTGCATTACTCTTGTACCGTTATTCTCACTTCCAAATTAGAGACAATAATTTCTCCACCATCCTAAGATACCAGCTAAGATATACCCAATAAAATAGGTCATGATTATGATACATGAGGTTAAAAAAAAATTTTATGTGTAATTAATTTAATTATTAAAAATAATTAATAAATATAATTATCAGTTGATAATAAATAAAATAATTAATATTTATTATTTAATAATTTAAAATTAACCTATAAATTAATATTTTTAA